TATATAATCGAAATGATCTTCAATCTCTTACGGACAATCAGACTTCATGGGGAATCAGTGTTGCAGAAAAGTTCTAGTAATAGCGATTTTTCTTAGTGAATAATCCGTCCACTGGCATACAAGAATATGTATATACACTATATACTTAGCAGGGCCAATATCAATATATTTGTTCCGTGCCTTGGGTCATATTATTTCATTACTTTTCACTAAACGTTGAAGTATCTATCAGTACGCTAACACAGACAATTTGTCAGATAGTTTGGTCTAGATCTCGGGATACCAGATACCCACGTAGGCTTATTGCGGTATTTCTGATGTTTAAAAGCATCATATTGTCAGTCAGTGGTGTATTGCAATAAAATAAATACATTTTAGAGAGAGTCTGATAGAGACGTATTTAGGTTCGTTTTCTAGCATTTTACAGGCCATTCGCGTCATCCACTTGCTGCCATTCGCTTTTTTCCCAATAACTAAATGTAACTTTAACTTCATCTGTATTTTTTAGTCTCGTAGCGAACGAGATTGTTGGAATTTTTCCGGACAAGATAAGGGCCCTTCGAATATTCGTGAGCGGTTCATTACCTTGCGAACTATCTGCGCTTTCAATTAGAAACTTCAAACAGGAGAAGAGTTGATGCACGTTTACAGCTGGTAATAGGACTGGGGTTCTTCGGGCTGGGATAAAACGAGGTATTAGAAAAAAAGTATGTATTCAACGAAGTACTGCTACATAAATAGCTTACGATTAGAGTAACGCTAGAAAGACGTATGCTAGTAGATTGTATCTAAATATGCAGTCGTCCTCTCATAATTACATTTTCTGAAAATAGATCCCTGCAGCGTACGCAGTGCTTCACCAAGTTCAACCTCACGAACAGATAGGATGGAGACAAGCCGTATCTGGTCTGCCTACTATAATACGGGAGGCATCGTTGTAGAGACGAGATATAAAATATGACCTATCCTAATAGATGGTGTCACGTCACTCTGATGCGAAGCTACTGAGTACCGGTAAATTAATGATCGGTATGGAAATGATGAGGTAAAAATTAAAAATGTAGCATTTATCATATATTTATGTTCTGGTCGGACACCTTACTATTTGGCCAATATCAGGGATCTCGCAGATAGATATTAGTTATTCAACATTGTATCATTATATCTAGACGTTGGTAAAAATTTCGTAACTGGTACAGGCGCAGCCTTGCGAAAAGAAAACCCTTACCTTCGGTTATTTGTGCGCGCTTCGAACGAGTTCCCGCACTTTCTAAGTTAGCGCTTTCAATAAATAAAATACACCATCGTTTATAAAGTGAAGGCAATCGATGTACCAAGTATTGTTCAATAGCATATTTTGACAATCTACTCGGCATGCGTCAGCAGCGAAGCTTATACCGCACCGATGAACAGCGTAATCCGCTATTTAAGTAAATTCATTATTGTTATAGACCGTTTGTTATCGTGATGTAATTTATACCTTTTTGCCATGTAATTAGAGGGGTAAATTTTCGAGATACACCCCCTTTCAGCGTCCCTGTGCCTATGTACCTTTACAAAGCCATCTCCATTCACACAACACGTATGGTAGCCATGCTACACAAGCATTAGAAATATGATTTATTAGGTTTTCTCTGTAAATACAATCACCTCTTGCAAATGCACACGTAAGAAAGTTACACCGATGCGTGTGATCTATATGTGCTCTACCTTGCCGTTACTGTTGCTGCCGAAGAGTGTCGTTATACGCTTGAAGGCCTGTGAATGCTGTTACGCCCTATCGGCGGACCTTTGCCGATAGATCTTCGCGATTGAGCACGATTATACGATTCTTGTCACGGGGAAATAACGTAACGCAGATTCCCTATCTGTTTCACACACAAACTCTATCTACGATAAACACCGAATCAGATCGTATCCGTTGAACTGAATACATATAGTATGCTTGATATATAGTCGTTTTGCCATACCCACATACAAGCACACCTGCACTATCTGCTCAAATTTGACGGAAATGTAACTGCAGTGAACAGATCTCCATTGTTAGATGTTTGTTTATAAGAGACGTTTTTGCTCGGAGGCAAATCCGTAAACGTTTAAAGTCACATAGCAAATTAACAAAGGAACTTTAGAGTAGATTCAGAAGACGTTTTCCAAATTTAATTTAAAAAAAAAAGCTTACGCCATCTTGCATTAGAGTCAGCTTTACCTCAGAGGGGGGATGGGGGGGGGTTCTACACAATATTTCATTGAGCCCATTTTACCGGAGAATAAACGTAACGTAGCTTCGTTCCAATCTATGGAGGACACCAATTAATAGAGTGCTGATCATAACTTGTCTGGTAAATTGCCACTCAAAGGACAACTCGTCAAGCGCTGATCCATGCACATATGTGTAGGAATACTGAATGTGCTATTTAACATACAAAAAATGATCCGAAAGTGAGGGAATAATATTAGCAAATAAAAACAACAATTACACCGTTACTAGCAATACAAGTTAATACGCAGTAAAAGTCACACACTTTTCTTTTACTATTAAAAAACAAAAAAGCGCACACTTTTCTAGACATGGTGATCAGTTGGTCTCACGTTTAGTATAAAACGAGCGACATTTTTATGATATATAGAATTTTCTGAGCTGCCTCTATCCTGTTTGCTGGGCAGCTTTTGCACGGGTTATCGTAAGGGAAACGGTGTCCGAGCATTTTACCAGCCACATGACTAGCGGCAGTTTACGAAATACAGCCTATTTAATTTGTTATAAGGTTGATTATATAAGTTATTAAGTTCTATACTTTATTTCTAGGTAGTGCTCTGATTTTGCTCGTCGAAGTGTCCCACAGCTTCGGGCCCATATCCCAGTAGTTGACTGCATACGGAACTAAATCCCACTGTGGGACAACTAAATTATCTAACAGAAAATTTCATTCGATAGACAACTTATACTTTGAGATCCATTTCTACAGCAATGTCATACCATGGCTCAAAACCTATTTTAGTTTGTACAATAAAAGCATCCGTCGAGAAGTTGTCTTCTTATGCCTGACGGATGAGGTTATGGAGTCAATGGGCATTCGGGTGGTACGGTTTCGGCCTATTCTCACATTCGCCCGGCGAGATACGCTTCTTAATTCACAGATCCGATTTCGCTCCTTTTTTTCCTCCTCAACCTGTGTAGGATTCTTTCTGACGTTTAGGCTGTGTCCTGAAAGAACGAATGCATTGTTCAAATTTGTCGTTTCTTTTCGTTGCATCTTCTGCTTTGCGTGGCCTTTGTTTTACACAAAGGAAGTAGAGAACGGGGGGGGGGGGGGGCGAGAGCGAGAGGAGGACAGAGAGAGAAAGGTCTCGAACGAGAAGAGCTCCAAGCTGCAGTAGCTGTGGCCGAAACTTTGGCAACCATTCTGTTTCGTAGAATCTGTGTCTTATTGATCGTACGATACTGTTAACGAGAAAACACAGAGATTGCTATGATACTTTGAGCTATTGAACCGTCGGGGCTGGCCGGGTAAATTCGAAATGACGCCAAAATTAGACACTACCGCCATCGCCTACGAGAGATTCCGGTCCACTAGAATTCGCATTTACTTCGCTCATGCATGAAATCAGATCGGTCAGACAGCCTTTACAGCGGCTTTGATGGTCACACACAGAAACCTACAAACGCTCTTGCCGCCGACCCGCATCTTCCCTTCGAGGAGAAACGATATTTTGCCCATATTTACTTAGAACTCGTCCTTCGGCTTTTGCAGCGAGATACAGTTGTGGCTCATCTAACGTACCGGCGGGATGATACCGTGCCACCCCATAGGTGTACTTACTGCACACGCATAAGCCACAATTATCGATATAGACAAACAAATAGATAACCAATCACGTTTAAAGATAGATAGGGTGATCGATGCCGATGCTCAAACTGATTTCCTGCAAATAAGAACGCAGTTGATGTGTTGACATCAGCCACAAGGCACGATGAAGATACGACGACTGTGAACATACACTTTATCCTATCGTACTGGTGCTACTTCAGTGGGGCCCATTTTGATGCGTCCCGCTATGCAATAGATATGGGTTCGCCATTAAGCAATGCTAGCTTAATTATCAAAGTAATATAGAAATTATAAGAACAAACGGGTCCAAGTTTGCGTGCTGCATGAATGCACAATAACAGCCCCGGATTTTTTCTACCGAAATAAAGTGGATTTATTTTCTGACGTTCGACTTGTGAAAATATCTATCATCGTATGATTAGTGCACTGTTCGATATCATTCAGTATCCACAATTCGCGGATCGATTCTCTGAGAAATCAATAGGAAGACGATTAAAAACGTCTTGAAGTTCTGATCGATAATCGGTCTTCACGTGTAAACTAACAATTTGACGTCGCCATGATAGCGACGATGCGTATTTTATCGATCCGATAATCAAACTAATATTAATTGAACGAAACACTGAGGTATCATATCTAACATAACATTTACTACTTGGCCTAACCTAAAAGGACCAATGACACATCCTAATTGTCTCGACGCGTCCGCTAATAGCCGTTCATATATTTCCTCTGCTTTCGTATCGTTAACGGTGCAACTAAGACTGGGGCATTGCTTTCTAACAAAATCAATTGAGAGCTCGAATCGAAATAAATCGAGAATCTCTCAATACTGATGGTGCTAGCTGTCGTGGGTAGGTTTTTCCCGTCATCAAGAATAGTAAAGTTACTCTATGTCGCAAGATCATCATATGATCCACGAAGAATGGCATGCTTTTACAATCCCTTTATAAATAAAAAAAGAAAGTCAACTGTTATTTAGACTAAACAAGGATGTAGATTCGTTCTTTGTTTTATTATTTAGAATAAATAATTACAATTATAACGAGATTATTTGTCATTTGTTCGCACATTTTATGAGCGAAACTGTGCAGGATGCTATAGATATATGTATATATATATATATATATACAGGATGTTACGCTTTTTTGGCTGATTGTATCATTTAACAATCACTTAGAATACTGCTACACAGTTATTGTTAAGATTATGCAGTAGTACCCTCTTTCTCAAAAGTGATTTGTCCAGCGAGATCGACTTCATTCTTCATGTTTTTCGTGCAGAAGTCATCAGTCTCTCGCCATAATGGACCGACAACGTGGATTCACTTCTGGAACGAGACTCCAGTACGTCCCTGACCGAGCTACGATATTACGAATGATGTTCCGGCGCGGTTTACGGAAGTATGTTGATCTGGTGCGGTTTGCAGCTTACGAAAGGTAGACACCCATGTTCAGATCCTCGGATTCGGGGACTTTACAGATACCGTGTGAAGCGTCGGCCGCAGCGGCGAAGCACACGGTCCCCTGGACGCACGAACAGGATCGGTCACAGAATAGGCCAGCTTCGATCGTGGCTTCGCAAGCCTCCTCCACGACGACTCCATCTTCGGCAATCTCGGCAGCAGTAGCGGTAACGGCTTCAGCAGCTGCCTGGCACACGGGGCATTGTGGGCACTCAGGTGCCGGCTCACATTCAGGACATTTCTCTGGCACAGCAATGGCCTCTTCAGAAACAGACTGCTCAGCGACGCGTTTTGATTTCTTCACCTTGGTCTGCTTTTGTCCTTTAACTTTCTGATTTTTTGAGTAGTACGCGGCCTTCTCATTCCTTCCAGATTTGTCGATATTCTCTTTGACGTTGGCCTCTTTACTATACTTCGAAGCCTTAACACCCCTTTTCATGCTCCTATCTTTTGAGACGGCGCCTTGTTGACCGTTTTCGAAGCCTTTACCGGATTTTCCTGACTCGCTTTTCTTAGCGGCGTCGGCCGAATTGGCCAGGCAGACAAGGGCAATCACCGACACCAAAAGCACGATCGTACCGACACGCATTGTGGTATCTTACACTTTTATAGATCTTTTTAGGAAACAGAATTCGCTCTCTGTTCACCACTTGTCTCTATATGACGACTGAGTTTTGTAATCGATGTCCTGAAAGCACTTTTTAGCCGAATGCTGCCACGGATTGAAGAGCACTTGGTGCTGCCGCCGTTGCTTAGCTTGCTTGAACGGTCTTTTATCGTGTTCGTCGTCTGCAAGTCGTTGAGTGGCCGCCGTACCGGAGAAGAGTTGCCTCTCGTAGCCAGTGGTTATCTATTCAGACCAGCAAAGCGAGTGGGGGGGGGGGATCAAGCAATGTGCGTCAATCACCAGCGGCGACACACCCTGCTTAAGTGAGCTTTGACAATGGCTGTCACTAAATATTGTTCGGCACAAGATAATTCCGCTCTATTTAGAGCGTGCGCATATCAGTACACCGCCAAATGCCAACACCACAAATCATTATCTACGACATTGTACCAACAGTAATAGGCATTCGTTTGAGAAGGCCTAATCAAATCGCACGTAACCAAGTAACGTACCAGGCAGTGGCTGCAGTGCAAGTAGTGTCTAAGCAGCAGCGTTGTTAGTGGAAATGTCCACCCGCTGGTATTACACATGCGTAACATATGCAAGCCTTTTTGCTTAGATAATGTTCGTACGCAGGTGGAGGTCACACCAAGTCGTATTAGGTGACAAGTTAGCCGTCAGGTCCAACCAGGCTAATGGCAAAAACAGCAGAAAGACTTCGGGTAGTCACATGATGAGCCTTGCACGAGTGAAATCTCGCATAGAGGCGGCGGCGGCGGCGGCGGCGGCGGCGGCGGCGGCGGCAGTAGCGACGGTGGAGGCAGCTGATGTGTACCTGCACTAAAACCAAGAAGAGAGAAAGAACTCATATTCCAATGCGCTTGAAGGTCGCTTAATCGTCCCTAGAGGGAAACATGTCCATTAAATGGCGTCTCCAAGATGACGACGGACGGTCGGCGAACCGCCACCAGCCATTGGACACGATAGCGTATGCGGGTAGCACAGGTCGACTCACTGGAGTGCCAGGACAATGACGAGAAGCGGGAAGCAGTGTGTAAGCCGCACTGTGGCTGGCTCCCAAAAACGTAGAACAAGAATTGAGTGTTTGAAAAATGTCCCTATTGGGGCCCTCCAGGTGTATGCCATAGCTGCCACCAAGAGTGCACACAGTCAAGCCGTCAGGCCCTAGCGAGGCCTAAGGGGCGGAACAGGGGAGTGGGCAAGTACGGGCAAGTCTGCCAGGCCTCGGGCCTGGTGGCTTTGGTCCTCTGGGTATCGAAGGAAGCACATGCGAGCTTGTGGGACCGACGTAGCAGACTAAAGTACACTGGTTCTTGATTACCTAACCGCCACCGCTGTCCAGTGTTACATACGCCCCCTTTCTGGCCAGCCCAGTTTCCCATTTCGGTACTACAGCAACGGCGTGAAGAGGCTTTGGAAGGAGACGAGGAGGGTTCGCCTTCCTATAGAAAACGCCAAGAACGGCCAAGCGGTCGAGCAACTATCGCGGTGCCGGCCACTAAACAATAAATGAGGACAGTTGTTTTGAAAAATATTTGTAAACAGTTATGTCGTCAAACGCTACTGCTGTCTATCACCTTAAGTCGGCCAGTGTCTATCATCAATGAGCCTCCCGAATAGCCTAACAAGAGATTTGATATAATGTTGGCAAGCAAAGCGTAATATTATTGGATAATATATCAAATTAAATAGTATGTATTTTTGTTGAATATTTTATGGCATATTATCCTTTACAAAGTGACCGGACTGTGCTGTAACTATAATTATTCGTATGTATTCCCCTTCTCAGCAGCCAGTGGAACAAAGTAATGACTTGCCAAAATAGTACACTGATAGTCAATACCATCTCATCTATGGATATATCCGTGATGTTACGTGTCGCATAGAGGCATGCCCGAAAACAAACACAGTTTTACCATCGTTTCGTGTTTTTATTGTGATTTTTATATGACAATACAGAAGCAACTAACGAATCATGCAATGCTATTGGCCGAGCATTTAGATAAATTTGACCAATGTCTGCCACTTATGTGGGCTAACCCGTTTCGATAGCGGAAAACCGGGTTTCAAGATGAATACCATCACTGAGCTGCTTGTGTTCCTGATCAGAATTTTCCGGATTCCGAATCAGAAATTCACTCTATATCGGGTGGTTGAATCGCATCGAACTTTTGCCATCTGAACCGACACAAAGTTCTCAAATGATTTTTCCATTTTATGTCTATTGAACAGCAAATTAGCTCATCTTCCTAACAGAATGTTGCCCATTCTAAAACGAAAACGTCCTGAAAGCAAACTGCAAGTCCGTATATCGAACTGTATAACACAGGGAGGCAATATCGGCCAGGGTACGGTCAACTAAGTGAACCCTTATGTTTGGACGTATATAACACGAAATGGTATCAATGGCTGGTCTACAAGACGAACTGCAGGGGTCTTGTTGCTTCAAGGCACAGCTCAGTCTAATCGGCATACACATATACTTGCGTATATGAACATCAACCTATCTTAGACTGTGTGTTATCGCGACTGTTGTATCATGTCTAAGGCTTATTAAAATACACGTGCACGCACATGCACTTTGTCATGACCTGTCCTGGCAGCGACCTGAGGAACCGTTATGGATTCAATAAAGCTATCTAGTAATGCATAACGTTCCGAATAATAATAACTCTAGATGATGGTTAGAGTGGACGTTTTTTTATTGCCAGATAAATGAATTTTGGTCTTTGACCGAGCTAGCTTGGCATTAAGCTTTTAGCTAAAAGTAACTTTGTTGCTCAAAGATAGATATTTTATCTCCAGCCTTTTCTATAGACGAGGTGACGGCGTATGGGGTAGCCTGTTTGCTTGCTAAACTTGAGGGGCACATGGCAGTTCAGATTTAGATCCGAGAATCGGCACACTTCGTTCTTTGCTGGAAGCCAGTTCTTCCTTTATTATTATTCCTTCATTAGATTATCTAATGGCAGTACCGGATGTAAGACTCGAAACAAACAACTGATTTTATCATTGGCTGTCCCTGTAACTGTATATAATTTCCCTATTACTATATTGAGTTAGACAACTTCTGACGTACGTTATAGAAATATATCGATCTCTTGGAAAATTCTTCTTGGAAATTACGAAATCGATATCGGCCACTGTAGGCCACAAAATAAAGAAATCCCTGTCGAGGCAAGTCTACTAGTACGATTCTTTTTTCTTACCCGTGGAAACCGTTATTTTCAAGATTGTTGACTCACAGAGCCCTACCACATCCGAAGACTGCTTTTATAAAAAGTCATTATCTCTATGAGCTTGTTATCGCATCATTAAGCTAAAGTTGTAAATAAATATATATATGACAACAGCGTTCGGGTTTTCTAATCGGCATTGGCGTTCCTTGCGTTTAACGCACATCGAGGCCCACGTACGTCTATTGTGGTGAACGTTGTGGAAAAACGCTAAATAAAAATGGGGACATTTTGAAGAAAGCAGCAATATTTTTCATTCGTCTAAATCTCTAAACGCATAAAAAGATGATTATATTAATTAAAACCTTTTATTACATCATCTAATGATGGGTATGCTACGTACACGTCGCGATGTTACAAGGTGTGTTCTTCAAAGAGTAAATATACTACATTGCGTTTTTAAACAAGTTTTATAGTTACTGCATTGATTTCAACCCTTAGTAACTGCTTGACAATAGCTGATATGTACGTATGTATATGACGCGAGAAAGTTTCTCGGAACAAGTAGAAAAATACGTTCGTTTAACCCTCTCCTTTCTGATTAGCAAGTTGCGAATAGCAAGCAACAAGGAAAAATTGTACTATTTATTTGTATGGTAATTAAGTGTAAGTTTAAGTGGTTTTTGTTTTAGTAGCATCTATCGTGCAAATCGTCCACGTTATAAGTTATGTTTCAGCTCACTTTGCTGGACCGTTAATCAGAACACGTAACATATTCTGAATAAATTCGAAACGGGTCGGGCCGCTAACAGTCATCTCGTCAATGCCAAAGCTGCCAGAAGCTTAACATTGCATTTTTCATTTCAAACGTTGTAAGCTTTATGGGTCTAAACGCAATCGTCGATACATTTTAGGGTACACTGTGACTATACTGCAGTCGTGTATGCTTAAATTGTATTTACTGTCAGCGTAAGCACGAGAACTATCACTGAAGCTCAATTTTCAAACAGATAACAGCCTAATTATAATATGGACTTGAACAGCACAAGCAGAAGGACATTTGTATCTTAAAAAGGTTGAACAGAGTTTAGAAAACACAAATGGACTACCAGTAGGGTCATGTGATCTGTACCACATAGTCCGTATCGTTCAGCGGTCATCCTCTAACTAATGCTACCTATATATAGCAACAAGGAGCACAGGAATAATATCACAGGCACTGCGCGGTCCATGCTATACACAAGAGGTGCCCGATAAAAGAAGGTGTAGAAGGGTCACTGGTAGTGAACCTCTGGAACGCGAAAGCAGCGACCAATCTCGCCAGAAGTTTGCTGCTTAGATTCCCTTATTTATTACTGCCTTCATTACAACCACTACTAACTCGCACTGCAAGCGCATAGCCACTGGTAAAGCAACCTCTGACTGCAGCGCGAGATGGTTAAGAGGGTGCGCGCCAGTACAGAGCCGCTAAGAGACAGTAGATGGCTGTTTTCATACTGGAGTGCGTCCGTAGAAGTCACCCATTTCGGCGATGTTCGGCCATTGTTGGCAGCATAGCAATTGCCCCTATGCCAACTAACACTCTACTGTTCTCTATTGTATTGTATAATTCTGCTTTATTCTGTCCGCGTTCTCAGCCCTCTTCGTTCCGACCTTTCTTTGTAGTCCCCATTGCGTCCCGTTTCACAATCGACCACTGCTAGCACTACGGTGCCTGTTCCTTCTCGTCTTCCATCTCTTTTGATTCTTTTCTCTCCCCAAAACTGCACACGAAGTGCCCCGTGCCCCTCCGCGGTTCGCCGCCTTCCATCAGATCTTCTCTGTAACGGAAATCAAACTAGCGGAAGTTGCAATTAGCCGAAAAGAGGGAGATGTGAGTCTAGATTGCGACGCTCGCGTCAATGGCAGCCTTCAGCTAACTGAGCAACACCATAAGCCCCAATACTAGCCCTGTCCCTAGATATCCTAACACCCATGTAGACCTGGGCATCCTTTCGGGCTTACCTAGTCTTACACACGAACTCTTCTATCCTAACTAGACTCTTGTCTATGTCGGAACGTAGTTATGGCCGTAGGATATATATAAAGTTTATTAGTGCGTACACGTGTGTACGATACAACCGAAATACGCATGTGTGCGAAAAGAAAAGACAACAATCCAATCATATATTTTCTTATCGGTATGTTGAACGATGTTAAGCTGTTTATTCATTGATCAGTCTGGTTAGTGAAATATGACCAAAAGCAATCTATGGGGCAAAAGCGACAGCTGCGGTTTTTGAGGGGAATGTAACATTTATGACCACTACAAGCCACAATCATATTTTCGATTGAGCACGTGAAAACGACTTCGAACTAAAAGCTATTCATTGTATTTTTTTCGCATTTATCGCATTCCTATTATAAGCCATCTTTTTCGTTTTGCCTCTTTGTTGCCCTGCATTCCCTCTTGTCCAGTAGCCGATTCGTAAGGGTCGGTGTTCGTGAGCGAAGTCTAGTGTCTGCTGGTAGATCTGGTTGGAAAGAAGC